CCCCCCCGAAACCCCCCCGCAGTCCCGCGCCAGGGCCCCCCCGGGGGGGGGGGGGTCAGCACCGAGAACCGTTAGCGGCACCGCGCCCAACTCGGCGTCCTTACGGGGACGCTGCTGAGGGGCCGGAGCCAGCTCGACCTCAGCCCTAGGGAAACGCACCCCGTCACCCCGACACACACGGAGGGAGGGGGGGAGGAACAGGCCATCTGCGCGGTAGGAACCGCCGCGAAGCTCCTCCCCCGAGCTCTCAACGCTGCGTTTGAACCAATACCTATCGAGGTTGCTCAGAAATAACGATATTTTTTTTTCATGGGTATTCCAAAGGTGTCCTAAGACGGTCATCACGGCAACCCCTCCGCCCGAGAGACGCGAAGCGCTGACACGCGGGACCTCTCGACGTGGCAGAGGACTAAGGACGCAGCGGCGCCCGGTACCTTTTTCTTTTGAGCAACTTCTTCCTCCGGCTTGGGAACGATCTGCTCCTTCTCGGTGAGGATCATCTCGATGTGGCAGGGGGAGCTCATGTAGGGGTTGATCCTGCCGTGCGCTCTGTAGGTGCGCCTGCGCATTTTGGGAGCCTTGTTGACCTGGATGTGCTCGATGACCAGGGAATCCACGTCGAGACCCTGGGAAGGGGACGGAGAGAAAAACCTGTGACTTGGTTTTCCTCTTCAAACGAATAATCTCCACAGAAAAAAACGTGAATAACCACACACACCCCCCTCCCCGGGAAATAAAACGGCTTCGCTCAGCAGCGTCAGGGAGGCGAGCCTTTAGCCAGCAAGCACCAGCTGGCGTCAGCGGAACGCCAGCCACCCCCGCGCGCGTCACAACCAACTGGAAGTGATGCCGCCGGCTCAGGAAGGGGTCACTCTTTCACCAGAGGTGTCCCGCGACAGCCAGCGCTGCCGCCCAAGTCACCAAATTACAAATTGACAAGGGCGCGCCGATTTTGCTTGGTCTTGTAGGTTTTAAGAGATCGAAACCACACTTGCTCCAAACAGTCGACACCCGTGCACAAACTAGCCCTCTGTCAGAAATTATTACTCGCATTTTAACTTGAAAAACATGGGTGGCCTCATTCGAACGGTGAACCGTGAACCAGCAGCCCCCGTACAACCGAGTTCCACCTACAGAGCGGGCCTCATCCAGCCCCCCCGTTAGAGAGACCGAGCTCAGGAGCGCCGAGCCGCAGCACGACACGAACGCTTTGCGCGCAGTAACGTCTGCGCGACCCACCTTGAGCTCAGCGTTGCTCTCCGCGTTTTTCAGCATGTGCAGCAAGAACTCGGCGCTTTTCTTCGGCCAGCGTCCCTGCGTCCAGCCCCACTGCTTGGCCTGGAGGAAGAAGAAGAGAGTTCCCTTTTCGCCCTGGTACAGCGCGACTCCGCCCTTCACACACCATTAACGTGCCATTACATCCCCTTTGGTTAAGGCTGCATACCAAAATAATTAAATTCCATCGATCACAAGTAGATGCAATGCTTGCCGTCCTGGAATTAACTCTTTCCTCCCTCTTAAGTTTAGACATAACGCTGACGTCAACAGACTATTCCCCCGCGCCGCCTCAACATCATCTCTTCTTCGCCCAGCCTCAGCCGAGGCGTCCTTCCCACGTTTTGGTCTCGGGCCTCACCTGGGCGCATCTACCGACTCCCCCGTTGTAGCGACGGAAGGGAACGCATTGCTTCTTCAGGGTGACGTCCTTCAGGTACTTGGTGGCCTTGCGGATGTGCATGCCCTTGATGGCCTGGGCCGTCTCACGAGTGTTCTAGCAAGAGAAAGCGCAGCCAAGTTCCCCTTAGCAGCTCTTGCTAAGTTACGACGCGAGCAAAAGCACCCCTTCTCCCTTTCCTGCATCGTGTTCTTTTTGCTACGAACCCAGTTTAAAAGAAGCACTCAGACAAAAAAAAAATAAAATAAAAGAATGAAAAATAATTCGCAACACTTGGTGGTTTTTTTTTTGCTACCCACTTTTCTAACCCTTGGTATGACTTCCATCACTGAATCTGCAGCTCTGGCACGTCTGTATTGTTTCTTACCTAACGGCTAGGTCTTTCCAACCAGAAAAATTTGAGTATTTATACTTTTCATAGCTCCTCTTTGGTCACTAATCCAAAAAAGCAGGAGCCGGAAGGATAAATTCCTACTAAAATGTCAAATACAGCACCTCAGAGGAAGCGATGAGAAAACGAGCTACAAACAATCTATGTCAGGGGATCTTAAAAGGGAGAGAGAAAAAGGCTCAGGAAGAATCACAGAATCATTAAGGTTGGAAGAGACCTCCAAGATCATCGAGTCCAACCGTCAACCCAACACCCCCATGCCCACTAAACCACGTCCCTAAGCGCCTCATCCACACGTCTTTTAAATACCTCCAGGGATGGTGACTCAACCACTGCCCTGGGCAGCCTGTGC